AAGGTAGTTCTCATGGGACCCGAAGTTAGTTCTTATGAAAGTAAGTTGTTATAAAAGAGTTGAACCAGATCCCTGAATCACTCTGGTTCTTATCTCACCATATGATCTCTCTTTTCTTGCAATTCCCCCATCTTGAGGCCACCCACCATACTGTTATACAGCTGGGAGCCTTCACCAGAGTTGGTGTCATGATGTTTAGATTTTCTATGGGGTAAACCTGTTTGTTTACAAATTACCCAGCCTCAAGCATTTTGCTATAACAATGAGGGAACAAAACAATACACTGGGTCAAAGTGTACACACAAATTTTAGGATTTTAATATATGCTGGAGAATTGCTCCCCAGAGATGTTTATTCCAATCTGTCACTTCTCAAGTCCCTGAAGTGTGTGAAAGTACCCAGCTTACTGCATTCTTTGGAATATTGTGGAAGCACAGCCAGTAAGAGTATGAGGTTTGGAATGAGATAGCATTCTCACTTACCGACCATGTAGCCTTAAGGCAAGTTACTTTAACCTCTCAGACTCTATTTACTCATTTTGGTTACTGTGAGGATCACATGAGTTCATATATACAGAGTGCTAAGCAAAACATCTGATCCATAGTCATTGCTCAGTAAACAAAAGCTAATCTATATTTACAAATTGTTCCTGCCCACTTCTGATATCTTATTCCCTGGGGATGGACATAGACTGAGCAAAGGCTTCTGAAATCTTTCCTGTATAGCCAATATCTACTGTATCCTTCATTCCAGCCCTGAAGTGCTGCAACTTCTACTGCTGTTGTGGGCTTCCCAGCTCAGTCCTTTCTTCCTTTACATTCTCTGGCACTAGGTAACTAATGGCAGGGTGGATTCTTTAGGCTTCATACCTTAATTACCATCTTGTTTCTTCCTGGGTTGATTATGCTGAGTGTTGCAAACCAGAAAAAAAGAGCCAAACTGGGTTTATAAACTGAAATGATTAATAATATGAATAAAAGAGCTACTATTTATTGAGATCCTAGTATATACCAGGTACTATGCTAAGCCCTTTTGCATGGATTGTTTTATCCAATCTCACAACAGTCCCAGGAAGCTCAGAGGGGGAGGGGACTTGCTCAGTGACACATGACTAGGATATGAAAGATCTGGGACTGGACTCCAAGCCTGTCTGACTTCAAAGTCTGTGCTCTTAACAATTTTGCATGCTGTTCTGCTCAATGTGGAAAGGTTCAGTTTGAAGGGATAGTTCAGTTTGAAGGTAGTTCTCATGGGACCCTAAGTTAGTTCTTATGAAAGTAAGTTGTTATAAAAGAGTGAACCAGATCCCCAAATACACACACATGCACATGTGTGAGTGCATGTATTTGTGTGTATGCATACATTTTTGCAACTATGTGTATTTGTGTGCAATTTTGTGTGAGCGTGTATGTGACTGCATATATGTGTATGCATTCATTGAAATGGCATTTAGTCAAGTCCTACCATATGTCAAGAACTGTGCAAATTTTGGGGACAAGATGGTGAACAAAAGAGAAATGATCTCATCTCTCTTAACATTTACTGAGTAGAGGAGAGGGCCAATATCAAATAAATGAGTAACTGAAGAAATTATAGGATTACCACTATGAAGGAAGTAAAAAGGATGTAGTCACAGAAAGTAACAGGATAACAATCTTTGGTCTAGAAATCCAGAGAGAGTATATATGGGTAAGAATTAGTGATGTCTCTGAGTGTGCTTGGGAGGTAGGGAAATGGCCTACCAGTTTCATCCAAAGAGGCAGAACAAGAAATGGAGATTAGTGCTCTGTGCATAGGCCTGGTTTTAGGACCAAGGGCCTCAGGAATTACCCATATATATTTCTGGAAAATCCTGAAATTTCTAGAAGCATGTAAGCATTTGCCTTTATGCCAGAAGACTATCTTCCACTCTATCCCATCATGGTGGCCCTGGCTCCCGTGTGATGGCTATGACTCCCTATTCCAAACAAATTTCTATTCATACAAAAATTAAATACTACTCTCAGAAAAACTCTCTCTGGATTTCTAGTCCAAAGTTTGATATCCTGTTACTTTCTGTGACTATATCCTCTTTACTTTCTTCATAGTGGTAATCCTATAATTTATTCAGTTACTCATTTATGTGATATTGGCCCTCTCCTCTACCCAGTAAACGTTAAGAGAGATAAGATCAATTTCTCTTTTGTTCACCATCTTGTCCCCAGAATTTGCGCAGGTTCTTGACATGTGGTAAGACATGACTAAATGCCATTTCAATGAATGCATGCACATATATGCAGTCACATACATATTCACTCAAAATTGCACACAAATACATAGTTGCAAAATTGTATGCATACACACAAACACATGCACACACACACATACACACATCCCTTCAAGCTGAACCTTTCCATATTGAGCAGAGCAGCATGCGAATTGGTTAAGAGCAGGGCTCGTGTTGTGGCTCAGTGGTAGAGCGCTTGCCTAGCACATGCGAGGCCCTGGGTTCAATCCTCAGCACCACATAAAAAAATAAATAAATAAAGGTATTGCATCCAACTACAACTAAAAATTAAATATTTTTAAAATTTTTTAAAAAATGGTTAAGAGCACACACTTACACACTAGAAGCATGGATGGAGCAAAAGGTATGGTCTGATGTCCAAGGTCAGAGTATACGGAGTGAAAGCCATCTGGATTCTTACTGAAAGAAAAATCCCAACCTACCCCAAGAGTCTTTGAATCAAAATGTTCCTCACATGCTGTTTATCTGTTAATGTAGTTTGTGGTTTGAAAAGGCTGCAATATCATCCCTGAGGTGTGTTCATTCTCTTTCTCTTTCTTCCTCTGCCTACACACACACACACACACACACACACACACCTCTAGAGGTAGCTAAGAGGGGACAGTTGAGTGGAAATGTCACCAGAGCCACTTCTAGTAAGCAGTAACCTTGAGTAAGCTAAGGATATGGTTTGAGATATCCTCCTCTATCCACAGTGAAGATGGGCATGGTTGCCAGAGTAGTTGGCTCAAGAAACCTGAGAAAGCATGGCCAACCCAAATGTAGTGTCTCCACACCATGGGCCACCAACAACCAAGCCTGGTCTGGAAGAGTGAGTTTTTCCAAGCCACCTATAGCTATTGGGTTGCTGTGAACTCATAATTGAGACATTCTGTGCATCCCTCCAAGCTCCCATTCAGACTATACTCTAGAGCACCAGGTGACCACATAGGACTTAAACAATAGCACACTATCTACTCCCTTTAACATTTCTATTAGAGAATTCTGGTAGGTAAGCAGTTAAGAAAAATATTCAAAGCACCCTGGGTCCTGCTTTTTATATTTCAAGCATTTAGAAAGAACCTAAGTCATATGTATGAGATCTCTGAGGACAGTCCAGATGGAAACTGTCCATTTTCAGAGGCTATGCTTTGTTTCTAATTTGTGCTTAGGACATGCAGTACCTTCATCCAATATGAAACATGGACAGTGATTATATGAAATCAACTTAATCACTCTGTTTGTACCACACAGTGCCCTGAATTGCTACTGGCCTGGAGATATCAGTTTTCAAAAATAACATTTATCCCTGGGAACACACCCTAATGTATTTCCTTGTCCTTGGTTTCATTAGAAGAATCCCACCATTGCCAATTGCTCATTGTAAATGGTATGAGATATTGAGCAGAGTGTCTGCCATGTGGGTTTAAGCTTCTTTTTTTAAAATATCTGTGTTACATAGAAAGCCAAGGTAATGGGTGGGGCCACTCCTGTAAAACTGTACTGGCCTCTCAAATGTTTTTATCTTGTACAAACTCCAGTCAAACTGAACATTAAGGAGAGCTGGGAGAGGTGCCCATGGAGGGAAAAGGGCCCAGTGTCTCAGGATCTCCTGTCAGCCAATCTTCCTTTGTCTCCATACTCATGTCCCCCTCCTCCAATATCTTGGATAGATGAGAGGCTCCAGGATTTTAACACCATCTGGCAGAGTTATTTCCCTCCTCCCCTTTTGTCTGAGTGGGTGTTGAGAATGGAGAAAACATGTATCCATGTTGGAAGCTATCTTGGAGATAGCAGATTTAGCTATTAGTTATAATAGGCACAATTAACATAGTGTCTACGGAACTAAAGGAGACTTTGTTCCCTTCTAGTGTGTCCACACAGTGAGCAAGAAGAAACTGACTTTCCCTAATAATTCTGCTTTTAAAGATGAGGTCCAAGCAACTACTTTTTTTACCCATCACTCATTTCTACAGTTCAGTTCCCTACTGGGCTAATCTGCTTTTTGCCCCCTTGGTTCAGTCTCTTAACATCTCTGTGCCTCAGATTTCTCTGAAAAAACAAAAAACAAAAAACACACAAACAAACCTTGTAATGACCAACTGTTGCCTGTTGAATAACAACAAGCAAGTGTGAAACCCTTTTTAATGTTCTATGGAGTCCTCCTATTAGGTGTATTTAGAACAGTAGCTATGAAATAGAGCTAAACAATATCAGCAACCAAACACAAATTAACCACTTTTGCTTCTAGAAAAGTTTTATTAAGGGGGTAATTTGACAAGGGGATAAAGATGTGTGTACAGAGTTGCTCACTGCCATGTTATTACTATAACTTAAAAAACAGAAGCAACTGAATTGCCCACAAATATGACATCTGTTAATCCATTATTCTCTCCTATAGGAATAGTGTATACCCATTTAAAAAGTTGGTGTTTGGCTCAGTTCATTGCTATGGGAGGATATTTGTATATATTGATGAAGCAAAATCAGCTTTAATAATGATACATGTTGTGAAGAGAATGCATATATGAATAGAAACAAATCCTAGAAAGAAGTACAACTAAAGGAGGACAATGGCTGTTTATGAATACTATGATTAATGTGTGTGTATTTTACTTTTTCTTTATTTTCTTCAAGTTAACAAATATAGTATGAATTAACCTGAAAAAAAGCTACTTCCATTTCGAAAATTATAAGTAAACACCTGACATGTCTCCTAAATCTTTCCTTCCAGATAGTGACATGCCTCCAAATCAGTGGCGTTTCTCTTCTCCTTGGACAAAGTCACAACTGGAAATGTCGCGTGCAAATAGTGCCAACAACAGCAGCTTGAATATGTCTGGTCCCTTGGCTATGAATCAGTATCCACTGTCTCTGCCTGAGACCCACTCTGTTCAGCCTCGGGATCTGTGGCATTTTCCCTCCCTAGCCAGCCCCAGGTCCCTGGAGCCTGGCTACTCTCATGTCTTTCCGGATGGGCACCTGGTTCCAGAGCCCCGGCCTGATGGGAAATGTGAGCCTCTCCTAGGTCTCCTCCAGCAAGACAGATGTCTAAACTGTCCTCAGAAATTTGCCACGAGAGAGGATCGCAACCCTGTCCAGATAGCCGGAAGCACAGGATTGCTTTTCAACCTACCTCCCAGATCAGTCCACTGTAAGGAAATGCTTAGAGATAATTGGAGGATTTCCTCTGAGGGGTTGTGGTCAGGAGTGAGTTGGCATTAGATGGGCGCTAAGACTAATTGCTGCCATTCTGGACATAGGGCTTCTGCTGAGGGGGTGGAATGTTTTGTGTAAATGTTCTATATATTTTCACTAGGCTTCATTAACACTCACAGTTTAATGGTTAAAGGGTTACATAGATGGCCAGCCAGATGGGTTTGGTCCTCAATACTCACCCAGACTGTTGACTTGGCCTTATCCTAGAAAAATGATGGACTGCTGCCTAAAATTGGAGGGTCCCACATCTACCTCATTGGGAGCCATTAAATAATCTGTTTGCAAAACAGAGCTCTGTGACGTACCTACAGGCTCAAACGTTATGCTCCAAACAGGTTGACAACTAGCAATGATGCCAGGCTCCTGGGCAAAAACAAGGGCAATCTATACCAACCATCTGCTCCACACATTAAAATTCAAAGCAACTGGAGAGGCAGCCCCATTGCTGTCTGGAGATGGCTGGCTGTGGCTTCCTCCTTTACACTGGCTTGCTCTTGCTCAGTTTCCCTTGGGTCATTGCCCCCTGATAGCCACCTCTCCCCTGAACTGAAAACTCCCTTAAGAATCACTCAGTTTATCATTCACTTGCTCACCCAACAAATGTTTAATTGGGGTCTACTAGATGTGAAATACCCACAAGAAACAGGACTTTCTGCTTTGTAGAAGGACAGGGAAGAACTGGCATAAACCATGCTTTCAGTAAAAATGTAATCTACTCTGCTTGAAAGATTTGCCTTTCATGTGAAATACTTGTAATAGAGTATAATATATATATATATATATATATATATATATATATATATATATATATATTATACATTCATGTGACCAAGTCTGCATTCTGTTCTCTGGATTAATTTTCTTTTGCAATTCCCTGGTCTGTACATATCTATGGTTCTATGCCTGAGAGATATTACTGGAAGCAGTTTTTACTGTGAACTAAAGATATAGTACACAAAGGGCCTGTTTAGCATGGTCTGCCTAAGTTCAGGACTGTGTTCCATCCTAATATTTCACAACAAATGTCCTGTTAAAATACCATTGTGTCATTTCTAAAGTTTGATTAGCAATGCATGCAGAGAGTAAATCATAAAAATGTCATGCTTGGGATACCAGTGAAAATTCCCACCCTATACTCTTTTGCAAAATATTCTCCTCCTGAATTCAGAGGGAAAGTCAGACCAACTGTGTTTGTATATATGCCTGTGCATACACATAGCAGAGCCCTTATTCAACAGTTGGTTAGAACACACATGGCTCAAATCATCATCTTTCAAACATAATGACTATGTACACTTCAGATCCAATTCAGCAAATATTTAGTGAGCCTATACTATAAGCCAGGCACATCCTGGCAAACAAACTGATAATACAGGCATTATCCTAGTCCTGAAACCTCTAGACAAAAATTCATGAACAAAGGTTTATCATCAAAGTCTCAACTGTTGTGAGATCTTCACACATTCTTACTAATGTTGACAATCAGTCATATTCATTGCTGACTGACCAGGAACTGTTGAGAAAGTGACCTTTAATTAGGAACACTGTCTGTAAGATGGGAACAAGTTCTAAGGGGCCTTAAGAAAACAAGCTCCTTTGATTTTTAGTATCTATTAGGAGAAAATAGGCCAGATGTCCATACACTGAGAGACAATCTGGTGCCCCTGGGTAGCTGCTGGGCAGTTTTTAACCCAGTCCTGGAGATTTCATTGTTAATCATGTTTTTTTATTTTTTTTCAGGTAAGAAAATATATGTCTCCCCAAGTCATGGACCTGCCAGTCCCAACCTTGCAAATGAAAGTAGGTATCCAGTTCAGCCTTTGATAGCTGGGTTCTGTATCCTGAGAACAAATTTGAGGAGATTATATTATAAACATTAGGGCCTCTAGCAGCTGACAGGCATCTTATTTCTATTATTTGGGATTTCGATGGATAGAATTGATTTCATTGTAGTTTCAAGGAACTCAAGTAATTCAGATCTTGTCAAATTTCTTGTATATTTTCTCATTTTGCTAGAGAAGCGATTTTATTGAGTCCTTGTCTCTGAGCCCAACTTACCTGAGGTAACCAAGGTGACTCACAATAATGAACAAATCCATGAGGATTAGCTTGCTTTGTCCCAGATGTTCGGCTTTCAGCTTAGCACATAGGGGCACCCCAGGACTCTGTGATCAGGAAAATGTGACTCAGGCCCAAGACAAAGAGTCTGGGTTCCACACTCAATTTGAAAATGAAATCCATAGGAACTTCAAAATGAGAACAATCTGGGTGGAATGAGAAGAGGATCTGCATGATCTAGGTTTAGGGTTCAAATTCCAGCTTCATTACTTTAGCCTCAGGAACTCAGTCACATTTATTAAGCTCCCTATGCCTCAATTGTCATATTTGGAAAATAGGCATCAAATTATTGCTTACCTCATGAAGTTTCTATGAGCATTAAATGGAATAGTCTATGCAAATGCTTAAAATAAAGTCTGGCACATAGTAAGCCATCAAAATGTGTAGGCTTTTTGGAAGGCATCCTGGTATCCCAAACTATGTTCTATGCTATGTGTTTCAGAGAGGACCAACAGGAAGAAGCACCACCAAAGCCCTGGTTTCAGGCATTTTACAGTTCAGTGTGAAGAGGGGTTGAGGGTAATATATAATATTCCACTTCAATGTCAGTTTAACAAGGACTGAGACTTTGAGGGGTGAACTGTCATATCCCCAATACCTGCAGGAATGCTTGACACAGAAGTCCATATGTATTTGCTGAATGAATGAATGCTAGAAACAATAAAAGAATATTTAAAAAGGAAATAGCAAGAAAATTCCCATCCAAATAGTAAAACTTCATGTGTTTGAGGCTGTTATATAAAACAAATCCATCTATCAACCTCAGTGGTTAACTGGCTGTGCCTAGATGAGGAGATACATTAAGGGCTACATGGAAGGCTCATAGCTGATTCCAGGCCCAAGAGAATGATATCTAATTTATGAAAGTCAGGATTGTGATATCTCTTAAGTACTTGTTAATAGTTCCTATATTATTTTATTAGAAGTTGTGAAATTGCTGATAATGTAATGATGCATTCCATTGTTCATAGGCCCCAAAGAACAACATTTTTTGGGTATTGACTGTGAGCCAGATACCACACACCTCACCCTGCTTAGTTTCCACCACAAACTTGTGATATGTATATGAGTATATCCTAGGTAAATCACACAACCGATATTCAGTAAATAATGGTTGAATGAATGAATATCTCCATTTAATAGATGAAAAAACTGAGTCTCAAAGAGGTGAAAAGACTTGCCTTTAGATTACATAGAAGCAAGTGACAGGTGTAATATTATCTCTTTGCTCTCACAGTGTCATACAATCCTCAAAGCAATTCCAATTTAAATATATTGCATAATAGTAAAAATTAGTTACTGGTGAGACTAATTCACTCTACATGGGTTTACTATCCATCTGTGGCTAGGACAGTGTTCTAGCATAAAGGAAGAGGACTGCAGAAAGCTCCGAAAGCAAGCAAAAGAACAAAGAGCAATATTACTTGGGAAAGGGGTATGGGGATGACCTTCCCTTGCAAAGAGGATTTGAGAGAAAGCAGGGAAAGGGTATTTGGTTATGTCAACAGCCTACCACTATCGCTCTGGGCAGAGGGAGGCTGCAAGGAATAGGGAGGGGAAAGGGAGAGTTTCCTAGAGCTCCAAGCAAACTGACCACAGACCCCAGCAAAACCAGTGCTCTTAAGCATGACATCAGTCTCCCAATCTTGCCTAATGCTAACATCCACTAGAAGCTTGTTATCTGCATGAATTGTGCTCCCCTCTTCCTGTGGGAGTAGATCTGGAATGAGACACAGTCGCATTGGCTTGTATTGTACTCTTTCTGTATTTTTATTAACTTCAGTTTGAAGTGACCTGTATGAACCTTTCAGTAGGAATTTTTGTAGTTCCAAAAGATTTCCAATGTGAGGCTCCAGATAAATATGCTGCAAAAGAAAAAAGGCAGAGTCTCTCCTGTCCCTCCCATATGGACTTAACCCCCTCATGTACCTATGAGGTAGAAGCCATGTGGAGCATGCCTATCATGCACAGGGCCTGTCCCATTGATGCTGAAGGCCCTCAGCATTGATCAAATAATCTATCAATCAATCAGTTTAAATAAAAATTCAAAAAAATAAAAGGAAGAAAGAATAAGAGACCCAGTTGCCACCTACAGTACAGGCTCTATTTTTATCTACATTGACAGATGGGAAAATTGAAGTTTTAGGAGGTTAAGTAACTTGTCCCAGTGAGTAAGTGGCAGTTTTCTCTGACTTCAAAGTGCCTGATATTACCCACTAAGCTAAGGTGCAGCTTGACCACACAATAAATCAACTCTATCACATTTAGAGACACTGCTTCCTTAAACAAAATAATAATGATTTATTGAACATATATGTGCCAGCGGGGAGCTTCATATACATTTGACTCAATTCTCACCAGAATCTTAGGAAGTTGTTATTAATATCTCCATTTAACATGAGGGCAGTAGGACTCAGATAGGCTTGGTAACTGGCCTAAGGTCACACAGCTAGGCAGTGCTGAGTCCAGGACTCAAACCTGGGCTCATCTGACCTCACAGGTATCCTCTTTTTCATCATGCTTATCCTGTTTTTCAGGAAGCCAATCTCCAGAGAGAAGAAAAGATCTGTACTATTATTAACTGCGGTTTGAAGAAGAGAAATATTCTTTCTAAACCTGCTTATGATTTTCTACTGTGAATCCACAGGGTCTAGAGACCTCACTGTCCTTTTCTTTTTCTGCCCCTAAAGAACATTTCTGCCCTCCCTAAGACTGTGCATTTCTCGTCCTTGGTAACTATGTCCTATAAGAGGGTTTTCCAAACTTGCTAAGTGATTTCCCAGCATGTTGAAGAGCTGTTCCAGGGTGGAGGGCATAGAGGCCCGCCTGCTTGTTCATACCCACTGCACTTAGAGATCACAGCATCTTGATTCTCCCCAGCAGTAACCTTTGAACCAAGGCTGACCACATGATATTTATTCTATGGGTGGTTTAGTCAGCTTTCTCGCTGCTGTGACTAATGGATCTGACCAGACCAACTATAGAGGAGGAAAAGTTTATTTGAGGGCTCACAGTTTCAGAGGTCTTAGTCTATAGAAGGCTGGCTCCATTTCTTGGGGCCCAAGATGAGGCTGAACATCATGGAGGAGTGCGTGGCAGTGGGAAACAGCTTACATCATGGAGATTAAGAAGCAGAGAGACTCCACTCGCCAGATATAAATATATACACCAAAGCCACAACCTAATTCCCACCTCCTCCAGCCACACCCTACCACTTTAGTTAATCCTACCAGGGATTAACTCATTGGTAAGGTTAAGGCTATAACTCAGTCATTTCTCCTCCAAACCTTCTTGCGCTGTCTCACATGTGAGCTTTCAGGGGACACCAAATCAAAACCATAACAATAGGTTTGTCCCATGATCCCAACTGAATTAATGTGTCAAGAACAGCCTGTAGCTTTCCAGTCTTCACTAGACTGCGGCCAACCTCACCCCTTCCTCTACCAAAAGCAGAATGAAAATGAGGTGGGCAAGACCTACCAAGAATGGGCTGAGGCTATGGGCTCTCTACTGGTCCAAAGTCTGGAAAAAAGCTTAGAATTCCCCATCTGGACTTGATAAATGAAACGGTTTCACTTAGAAAATTTGGTTCCTCAATTCCAAAAAAAAATGATTCCAAATGGAATTGTTGGGAAGTCCAAGAACCTAACTTATTGGAAATTGAGAAAATTTCCCTGTCCCACATTGAGCCTGTTAGTGGAACAGAATTTGCTGTTGCTGTAGCAAGAATGTTTTTTTGGATACAGTGTGTAAATTTCTGTCTTCCTTGGCTCTGATGTTGAGGACTCTGGCATCTGACACCACATGGATACTCGCAACATCTTTAGTCAAGTTGGAGGAGCAAGGCAAGACTTGGTCCAAGACATAGCAGCAGAACCTTCCTGTAAATTGTTCCAGATAAAATGATAATTGCCAATCTGGTAGACAGCCTTGTGTCTAGTATGAGCTGGATGTTTGCCCTGTGACAGTCCTAGAATCCCCTGCCATAAATGTTCTCCATTTGTGCCCCACTTGCTCTTGGGTAATAGCTAAAAGGGTGAATAATAATAAAGCTATACTTTTACAGATTACCCTGTTCTGGTTTCTAAGTTTTTTCACACTCATTCAAAATTTCCAGCAACCTTTAGATTAACAATATTATATTCATTTAATATAGGTAGATACTGAAGCTTAGAAAATGTAAATGACCTGACCCAATTCACATAGTCAGTAACAGAACCAACACTGAAATCCAGGTGTCTGAACACAATGCTCTTTTCTCTCCACCATAAGATACTTATCAAGGGTTAATATCAATATGCCCCTTAGATACTTGTTGCTCCCATATGCTGTGTAAATAAAGACCACAACTTTTCTGAGTGCATTGTTGATTTGAGGCAGTAATACAGCAATTCTTCTATCTCAACAACAGTTTTTTTTCCCAGTGCATTGCACATGTTTCCTACATTTAGGCAGAGGATAAAAGACCTAGCCAGTAGATTTTCCCACAAAGTTAGGTACCTTCAAAAGTTTCGTTCTTTTTTAGGTGGTGATTGGGAAAATTGGGGGGTGGAAGCTAATTCTAGTACTTGTGATTAATAATTACACATGTATGTGTTTATCTTGGCTCATTCTATAAAGATTCATCTGTTAGAAGATAACATATATCATCAGAATTGAACTTTATTTTTTGTACCAGGGAT